TCTGGACTGGAAACTTCCAGCTCAGCTTTTTGTTTTCTGTCTGGCTGAAGCTGAGATGACTCGGTCTGTCTGAGTGATCCCTCCATATTCCCAGGGAGAGAAAAGAGCAGCAGACAAGCTTTGGCACTCTGAAGGAAGCGAGATAGCGCTAAAAATATTTCGACTGGGTTTTCTAATTGATAAAGCTCACACTTCCTTTAATGTTTCACCAGAAGTTCTGCAAAGCAAAACTGGAATGGTTTAGGTGTAGGGTTCATTTAATTTTTTGCGGTGGAGGGGGGTGAAGATTGACAGAAAAGGGAGCAGAAATAGGCTGCAGATGGGAATTGAACCAGGGTCGCTGCAGAAAGAACTCAGTCTACATTACAAGGCATTACAAGCGATCTAGTATGCACCCCATGTTGACTTAATTTTAAAGAATAATGACCTGGTCTGCTCCCACCGTCATCTGACCTTAGATAGGTGGAAGAAAATGGATGAATGGATGGATGTTACAGTCTTTTGAATAAATGTAATTTATTCCTTTTATAGATCATCATCGCAATCCACAGTTTTATCATTCTTTGAATAAAACCCTGGCTGCTCATATCTGTTCCTTTTCTGTAGCAGTTTTCAAATGACCTTTTGGCAATGAAAACTGGCCAGTCTATTTAGCCTCGTTCCAGACCTCCGAATGACCACTCACAGAAGTGAAAATGAAATGCCAGTTCAATCTGATTATGGTCTATTATGGAATCTGAAACATGCATTCCTTTGTATTATCTAATTCTAAGAGAAACAATCTGCATGTATGGAAATCATCAGTGGTCCATGGTATCCCCCTAGTGGAACACTACAGGTAAATTGAGGAGGAGTAAGAACTATTTAAAAATGTTTCTCTATTTAAAAATTGGATTTCAACTCATTGAGAATGTTTGTAGTGAGAGTTTTCAATGTTTGGGTGCTGAACAAGGTAGTTCACCTTATGCTGTGGAAAACAAACATTTGGTTGTTATAAATTCTTACTGCAGAAGTAATTTTCCACTTGAATACTGCAGTGCTCCACAAGGATGATGCCAAGAGCCTCCACTGTGACAATACAGTACAGTTACCCTTTTAATTGTTCTTTACCTCAAAGTACCTCTGGCATTTGAAGATAAGTGTTCCCTGTCAGAAAAATATATGAGCTATTCTGCATGGCGTATTATGTAAGTATTGTAGCAGCTATCTGTGCATGCTGCTTTCTATTCATTTCTTGAAATAAGAGCAGCCTCTGACTATCAAGACCATGACCACAAACCAATGGTAGTACTGTAGCTGGCAGTTAATAGACATTAATGGTGATGGAAACAAAAAATCAACACAAAATACACAACTTGCTACACACATCCTACTGTCTCTTCAAATTAGACTAATATAGATGTTATGATGTTATGGTAAAGGTCAAAATATGAAACCTTTGTACACAGTGTCTGTTACACCACCAGAGGAATCAGTGAGACAATGCATCTCATCTCTGATTGGCCTGGTGTTTGG